TTAAAATTAAGGGTTCTCGCGAACTAAAACAGAAGATTTTTGGGAAGGCAAATTGTTTTCTGCTGTAGAGACGACGTGAAAAGGACGTCTTGAACCGTTATTTTCTAAGAAATAAAAAGCGCATGAGGTGGGACAAAAATAAATAACATTTTAAAGGCAAAAATGAAAGTTTTCTACTTGAGAAGAGGAGAGTAGATACCCTTATTACTACGAAATCTCCTTGGTGCCTAACAATTTCTGCGCATGTGCCCGCTGACACTATGAAAACCTCAGTATCTCTCCCAAAACACACTGGTTCTATTTCGGGGTATTTTTCGACGCTGTTTACCAGAGTACCAACGGCAAGAGCTCCCAGGGGATAAGCATTCCCCTCAACTCCTGAAAAGTATTCTCAAATACTAAGACAACTTTAAAAAGCAGAAGGTAATTAAAATGTTTCACCAATGATGGGATTCCTAGGTATATGACATGAAGTCGAAATAATTTGACCAGCTCGCATATTTTCGGTGGCTAAAATCCATCGTTTCCCTTCTTTACCGGCAACTAAAGCTATATGGCTCGTCCGATTGGGATCCCTTCGAACTTCAATAACCTTAAGCATTTGTTGGTGCCACTGTTACTTCCCATAGATAACAAAAATTCTTTAGTGCAGAACCAGAAATATTCTATTTCACATGACTGCATAATAGGAAATGTGCTCAATCGAAAAAGATAAACCACCTAACTCCAAGTAATTTCTCAAGGAGACTAAGAAGGGTTAGGGAACTAAGTATGGAGAAATAAATCGAAAGCAAAAACAGCGACCAACCACACCAAATTGAAATATATTAGTTGTCCAATTAGGGCTACTACAAACAAAAAAAGCCTCACCCTTTCGTCATAAGTCTTCCCCTCTTCGTTTGGGCCACGGCGATGAAAATCAATCATATAATAGTCAAACTTCACACCCCCTCCAATATGCTGATTGACTTTTCTACCTAAAACACTTAAACTCAATAGTGCTCAGCTTCACCACACTTGAAGAATCATCTGAATATCAACAGTAATAAAGTATACAATTCCGTACATAAACAAATACAAACCCGTTTCAGGATCCCGACCTCCCAGTCTGTTTATCCTCAGGGGTTCATGTGTGTACTTGCCACCCGTTTTTTTGACAAGATCCCGCTCATCCCACAAATACCTTGGCTTGTTGACTGGTTTTGGAGCATATGCTGGTAGAAAACGTTTCGAACAAATGCTTGTCGAAGGAGACGATATACGTAATAAACTAATGCTTCCACATAACTTATTTAGCATCTAAAAAGCAATCCGATCAAGACAACAAGATAAGAAAAAAACATTGAACCACAACAAGTCACCACAGGCAACCATTACTTCCAAATCTTTTGATATATAGTATTTAAGGTATCTAAACTAGTGTAAAAACTATTAAATGATAAATGTGAAAAAATAACGTAACTAAACACTGAAAAAAAAGTCTTATTCGTCACGAAAAAATCAGTAACTTTGGTTATTATACTTCTACAACAAAAATATATATTGCAAAAAAAAAAAAAAAAAAAAAAAAAAATTCAAAAAAA